TTATTTTTTTTTTCATGTTTTCTTTAATATTTTTCGTCATAGCTATATTTAGGTCATTTTTAATTTTATACTTTGATTTTAATTGTTTGTGGCATTGATCCAGATATTGTTTTAAATTTCTAGTACCCTTCGAACTGAGTTTAAAATATACGAGATACGCTAGAAAAATTAGCTTCTTAAAACATTCTTTCTAAGAAGATTAATATAAAAATTTATATTTATATATATATTTTTTAAAGTTGGGACTTGAACCAAACTGTCAGACTTTTAAAGTTTAATTTACATGGTGGTTATTAATTAAAGTTCCACTTTCTACCGGACCAAATGTTATCAAACTTGGGAATCGTGTAAAGGAGGTTATGAGAATTTATTTTCGGCGGAAAAAAAAGAGTTCAAAAACTCACCATCAGGGGAAAATGGCGCTGTATACAATATTGTTAAATGAAATAAGACACGAAAACATCTGTTTAAAATGTGTTTAATATTTTCCGAAACGTGTTACAAAGCATGTTCAATGTAGCGTCCAGCATTTTCCGAAAGCAAGTTAAATCATGTTACTGCATTCTCAACAGCAGCTCTTAGCATATCAGGTTTGGTTTTGGTTTGGTTTATTAGATTACGGCAAAGCACTCGAGGGCTATCTGCCTTAAGGGAGGGATGCCTTCGTGGAGGACTTTTTAAGGGAAACTGGCTCGTATACACGTTACACATAGCATATCAGGAGGAATGTTATCAGTGTATCACATTTTTCATTTCTGCCAAATTGTTTAGATTATCACCATAAACAGTGCTTTTGAGATAACCCCATAGCCAAAAGTCACAGAGGTTGAGGTCTGGTGGGAAGAGGGGAAGTGTTGGCCTATAAGACGTTCATTCGTGAAATGTTGCCTAAGTAACTGTGCGACACTCGTTAGGGCGGGCCCAGCCCTGCATAAAAATCGTAGTATCTAAAATGCCACGTTACTGCAGTTCATGTATCACGAAACATTTTAATATTGACTCTAAGTGAGCTGCAATCGCAGTGGTCCAGCTGTCGACTGCTCTTCAGAGAAAAATGGTTCAGTTATAAAACTAGCTGTCATTCAACAGTAAACGGTGTGTGAAATGACTGTTATGCAATCGAATGCAGTAGGAGAATGCAATGGAACTAGATAGATAACATGAGAATTTCTTTGGCCCAAATCGATTAAAAAGCGTTTTGAATCAGTATCTTCATGTTTTAGTGCCGAATTCAGGCTTAAAAAATTACAAATTAGCGATCTGTAAGAAAACGATTTCCAGATTGTACGCACTTGTGAGAGTGATTTGCGATCTCACATTTTCTAATCGCTAATTCGTGGTTTTCACGGACGAAATTCTCACTTACAGGGATGGCGCACTCGACATTTATCGAATTTAACGTCTTTAAATGGTAATTTGCCTACTTCAAAGTTTCTTAAGGGTATACAACATATTAAACCCGTTTAACAAAAGGTTAAGTTAGATTCCGACCCATATTTCGTTTAACAATATTGCATACAGCGCCATTTCCCCCCTGGTGGTGAGGTTTCGAACTTCCTTTTTTCGCGGAAAATAAATTCCCATGACCTCCTTTACACGATTTCCAAGTTTGATAACATTTGATCCAGTAGTTTTCCTTTTATGACCGTTTCAATGTGGAACTTTAATTATAACCACTCTGTATATTATTAAATTTTAATTTGAAGCTATGCGTTATATGTATACCATGCGTAAAATTTTCGCTTTTATGGAAAAATAAAGAATCGAAGCAAATATACTTAGTATAATGGACCAAAACTGAAAAACATTTCCCCTCCCTCCGAAAATAAAATATTGAAACTTCGACCTTGAATTTATTGGGTTATCGAAATATTTAATTTGACTTATCTTCTAAGTCCTAGTTCCGACAACAATTCCGTCAAAAATTCCGAATTACTTAATCTGAAGTAAAAGATTTAGTATATATTCACTGTATGTTAATAAAGTAATCAGAGTGTAATAAAAATAGATTATAGAATTTACGCTGATGTAACTTTTTGTCTGACTGCACAACATGTAATGGAAGAGAAGGTTGTAGAGATCTGTTTTTGACATGCCTCTAAAAGTAGATGTCATACTCCTTTTGTCTCTTCAATGTCAAAAAACTTTCCTTTGAGAGGCAACTTTAGTTTTTGAGAAAGAAAAAAATCACAAGAAGACAAATTTGAAGAACATGCATGCAGGACGATTGAGTACACATACTTATTTTCGGAACACAAGCGGTTCTCCGACTGGTTATTGAATAATGAAAAGATGCATTGTCATGCAATACAAAACATGTGGAATACGTTTTCTGGCTGAATAACGTAAGATTAAAAGTCATCTGCTTAATTCACAGCCATTTACAAGTCAACTACTCGGGCAATTGCAGAATCGTTTTGATCCTGAGCTTGTAAGACAAACCTAATATCACTGGATTTAATTTAAACACTTCTTTAATCTTCCGAGAACGTTCCTTCTTTAGCTCATATTCCAAGAATATTAAGTGAATACAATTATTGCCAAAGAAATTGAATATTCATTTGCACTACGGCTTGGTAGTTTACTAACGAGTTAACAAAACTTAAATTCTGCTTTTTGTGTCTAAGAATACAACAATATTTTAAATATTTACAAATAAAATATTAAATTGGAGCCTCATCAGTTGCCTAGCATTTGAAAAAGAAAAGATTGTTAAATACTAATTGTTTGCTGCTCGAAGTCTAACCCAGGCTGCATGGTTGGTTTTCGTAGTTTTTTAGGTTCTCTTTACAAAGATTCTCTATGAAAGCATCTTAATCAAATAGCTCCCATGTTCTTTCTATGTTCAAATAACCAACTAACATAGTTTAAGCGCGATTTCCAAGTGAAGTTACTAGCAAAACCCGAATACTCATTAAAAATCATGTAGCTAGCCAATCGGGAGTAACATGAAAGATACGGAACCAATAATTAAAATGTTGTTACGGTACGCTGTTTCTTAACTTAGATGGTCATTCCTTAATTAAATAGCCCACCAACGGCCGAGCGGTAAAGACGCTGAACACTGGGAGTTCATTCGAGGTTCGAATCCCGCTAACGGGCTGGCCGCATGGGCGTTTTCGTGGTTTTCCCCATGTGTAACGTGTATACGAGCCACTTTTTCCTTAGAAAGTCCTCCACAAAGGCATCCCTCCCTTTAGGCAGATAGCCCTCGTGTGCTTTGTCATAATTAAATAATCCAATCCAATCCTTAATTAAATATAATTGATTTGTAAATTCTACTAGAACTGACGGTAAGAATTGAAGTGGAAATAAATAATATGGTGTGCAATCTTGATTAATATAAAATTAAAAATATTTGCATAGAAAAATGTTTGCATTCAGACAGAAAGTTTTTTGAAATATTTGCAATTACTTTATAAGAAGGATTTATTAATAACCGTAATAATTACTTATTATATTACTGATGATTAGGATTCAGTTCTTGACAATTACATTCTAAATTAGAATTTTAAGGATATAATGAAAATACGCTACGCACAAAAATACATTTTAGGAAAAAAAAAATGAGTTGATTTTTTATGTTTTAAAACTTCTTAAATTCATTTAATAAACATCGTATCCTCGTTGTTAATTGAATCCAGAATGTTGGTGTCGTTTATATAATTATTCTTACTTGTCCACAGAATCTGCTGACTTATCCAGCCATTAAGTAGCTGCAGATCATTTCTACATAACCATTGAACTTCCATTAATTCAGTCTCTAGAGGGTTGTATGTTTATATCATAATTTGACTTTTATAAAAATGATTATTCTAAATATTATGTTTCTATAAAAATATACTGTGCTTTAAAAATATGGATGATAGTATCAGCCGCTCTTTCAGCCACTTCAAAAGCAACAGTTTGTTTAGAAATAAATTATGCAGTTAATGTCATAAAATTCAAATAAACATCAAACGAAAATTCTCAGTTTTAGACAATTCGATTTAAACGAAGTAAAGTAGCAGACGATAAAACGCCGAAGGTAAAAATTTACTCTTACAAAAACTTACTCTTAAATTTTTTTAAAAAAAGAAAAGATAGAGAGAAATTTAAAAAAAAATAGTTAAAAATTTGAATAATATCATCTATAATTTAAAAAAATAGCCTTTCATATAGTATTAATAAATATTTATTACGCATCATTGAGGGAAAAAATGTCATATAATTAATTCTCCGTAAAATTTTACTTGAAAGTTTAAGGTTAAAAATAGCTGTGGCAATTCAGTGTAACAAAAATCCATAGACCACATTTGGCGTTATTATCGCTCAAAAAAAAAGGTGCCAAATTTCAAAACGCGAAATATGTAAATTCGTGTATATCTTAGAAAATTTTGAATAAAAAAGTCTAATTTTTTGCAGATATGCTTAAAAATACACCTACTTTAAGATGATGGTAAAAATTTTATAGGTTATAATTCAAAATTTTTTTCGAAAAAATTATAAAAATTATTTAAAAATAGAAATTTAAAAAATAAACACAAAAAATGGGTAAATTTTATTTGGAATGAACCTAAATTTCGAAATGTGAGAGAAAAAAAAAAAAGTTTATAAAAAAGAGATATTAATAAATATTTGCCAAATTCAATTAACATTGAGGAGCTAAAATTTTGAGAGCTTATATTTTAAAAACTACTCGTACAAATTTTACAAAACTTGGTATTCTGGCATAATTTGAGTCGTAGAATCGAAATATGTAAAAAAATTGGTATGTTATTTCAGAAAAAGTCCGATTTTGTGTCAAAATACCTATGTTAGAATAGTGCTATATATAAATCTAATATATATCCTAAGTCGCGCTTTCGAGACATGAAAAACGCAGTTTGAATTTTGTCAATCGGCCCAGTAAACGGGAGATATAGCACTGTCCCATTTTTTTTTTTTTTTTTTTGAGCAGTGTACATCTCCATTCTGTAAGGAAAGGTAAGATTATGAAGTAGTAATAAATAAGCAGCTGAAACTGCACAATTTAGCAACTTTATTATAATTCTTTGCCAAATACAATTGGTTTGTATAAAGAGTACAATAACAGCAAATGGACTGTGACTTCAGGAAATAACTTTTTTGAAGTGTTCATCAGACGTGCAGTGACTGCAAAATTATGTGCACTGTGTGTGACATAAAATGGATTTTAAAGCCATAAGGTATTTATATAATTATACAATGAACTACTTCAGTAATAATTTTGCTGATTTCCTAAATATATAACAGCAGTTTTGCATATTTTTTTTTTAATGAAACATATTAATGAAGCTGTCACATTACTAAAATTAAGCAATTTTATTAAAAAAAGTTCGTTAAAAAACTAGATATCACTATTATTATGAAATTGAATAGCAAAGCATATGACACACTGCATCATGATGATTTTTTGTAAGGCTTTCAATACCTGATTTACAGTTTCTGGTATCATCACTTTCTAGTAATATTTAAATATGAAATCTATATTTTATGGCAAAAAATCAATTACATGCATTTCTGTATCTGTCATAATTTACATTAATTTAATGTGAAATTAATTATGAGTATCTGTTGCTTTACAATACATAGGACATGTTCATACATTCTAACAAAAGTGTATAAATTCTAACAGTCACATAAGTATCTAAGAAAGCATAATCACAATGCCCGCAGTTGCTAAATGTAACAGTAAAGTGCAGCATTAAGAAATATTCAAAAACCAGATACACTACTTTAAAAATATACTTGAAGCATTTGTTACAAATATCACTTCTAATGGATATTATTACCCAGTTCAGTTTTTGCATAGCTTCTAAGGAAATTCAAAAAATGTTTTTACTGGACTGGGTAATGTATCTGTACCTGTAAAGCAGATATTACCTGAAGGTAATTCTAATGTTTTTAAGTTTTAAAATGTTTTGATGGTTTCAAACTATTGTAATATGGGTAAAATCAAACATAAAAAAGTAACCTTTATAGTTTTAATATATATATTTTTAATACTTCGAAGAAAATTTTAATTCTTAAAAATACAGCTCAAACACATTAAGCAGATTGACCGATACTTATTTTCATAACAAATATTGTATCATCAATTATAGAATTTTATGAATTTTGAAATAATTGTAAAATTCTGACTTTGTTCAAAATTTTTTTACTATCTGAAACAAAATTTTTTTAAATTAAATTATTTCCATTTGAAGTACTCATATATTTAAAACTTGATAAACTCATACATTAAACTTTAATGACTTGATACATTTAAAATTTATTTTGAATACACAACCATAATACTCTAAAATAATTCATACTGAAATTAATCAGGCATATATATTTAAACTTACCTGCTGTTTAAAAAAGAAAACTAAGCCATCTGGCTGCTTAATTACACACAAAAGAAGTTTCACAATACTAAAGATGTTATGTGGCAGAAATATTAAACATAAAAACGTACCAATGTAATATATGATATCAAGATATTTAAAAAAAAAATAACAATAAATAAATTGGTAAATTTGTGTTAATTACTATAAGTTAGCACAGAATGTTAAATGTGACTTTTAAAAGATTGAAATCATTTTTTCAGCAGTTTAATAATTGGTAATTTTAAATTTTGAATATCCTACTAATGTAACTCTTTCAAAATCACATGGAAAGAATTATTCTTTAAAATGAAAAACACTTTAAATTTGTATTAGCCTTCTAAATTGCTAAGAAATTTTGAATAGATTACTATAATTCATATTTTTTAATAGAATATACAGAATGCAAAGAAAAAAGAACACAGAGATCCTATAAGGGATTATTTAATACATACAATAATTATCTAAGAATTAGAATTGATAAATATCTGACTTCGATCAGGTATGTTATCTTTGAAAAATATTTGCAAAGGCATTTATGTATTAAAGAAATCATAAAAGTAACAGGTGGAATATTTGTGCATGTTAGTTATGTAAAAGTATGTATATGCAGGATACTTTTAAATTATTATAACGCTAATTATCAAAGCTTTTCATCTACATCTACATTAGTTGGTGATGCACAAATACAACAGATATAATAACTGAATTAGCAAATATAATAACTCTTCTTTTAGTGCTGATGATAAATAACTCTTCTTTTAATGCTGATGACAGGATTTAAAAGAACAAGAAAACAAAAAAGAATTAAAGAGAAATTACACATTTATATTTTACTGATTATTTAATTTCTTTGAGCTATGATTATAAAAATTTGCACTCTACTGAGAGGATCAAATTAAACAATTTGTTATGTTTTTTTCAATGATTGTTTAGCTATATATTTTTCTTTCATGAGTATTCCAATATTAAAATAACTGAATAAACAGCTTTAGAGGTACAGACGTCATTAGCATTCATTGTTTAATATTTACACATCAGATATTCACAAAATGGAATACAACATTCATTCTTTTTATGTATATATATGCTAACATTTGAGACAGTTCCCAATGACTAATAGTCTGTTTTATTGCTCAATTGTATCTGAAAACTAAAGTACAACAAAATAAACTGCAATAACACACTGATGGTTATACATAAAAAAGTTTAATATACTCTTGTATTTCTCAGTAGTACATACATAAAGCTTTCTAGTTTGTTCTGCTATTTTTAAACTACGGTACTCTTTTGAGATAATTATATTCAAATGTCAAAATTAGGTGATGAAGTTCTTTAGGATAATTACTAATTCTACATCTTGAGGTTACATAAAGTATTTGTTACACAAATTCAACAACGTTATTGTTAATATAAGAATGTAGTGCACTTATTGCAAATCATTTACAAAATACTGGTTTTATGCCTAGGAAAAATTACCTAATTATAGAAATATTTTTATTTGGTTGAAAATCTGCTACATTAAGGAACAGACAAAAACACACACATGTCTTTTTTGCAAATATACATAAATTTGTTTAAAGAATAAATGTAATAGTGCTATAAACAACATAAAGAAAGTGAATTTATTCTTTTTTACAGACATTATTCTGCAAACATACATAATGGGAGATATTTTATAATAATATGCCAGACATGTTCAATAATTTAAAGCTTTAACTTGCCCCTTAGTATAAAAAGCACCTACCAACATATTTCTTCTTAATATTTATGTTTAATTTGTGTAGCATTACAAGAATGAAAAATTTATCTACCTTAGTAAAATTAAGAAAAATTGTATATTTTAATAATGCAATAAAATTTCATTAAAAGAAGATATAGCAAATATTGGATGAAACTAATCTAAAGTAGTAAACTCTTGCATGAAACTAATCTAAGTTTTTAAGCTGAATTCTGTAGCACTCATAATATGTTTAAAGAATGCACACAAATTTCTCCTAGATCTATACATATTCTGAAACTTCCATTAACTGTAAGCGCGATTTTAGATTTCGCGAATGTAAAATTAGCAAATTGCTAGCTAAATAACAAGTTTTCACATAGAAGAAAAACTATTTTCAATCACAATGATAATACACTCTACTAATTTTTTACCATCTTTTCAGCTAAATTTAGAACACTTATCAATTCTATGACGTAAATATGCTTACAAATATTTTAAGTTTTTTTTTCCTTGCTTGATGTTAGCGAGTAGAGGTATATTTATGAACTATGGCACAAACTTTCTTGTAGTACAGCCAAACTGACTTGCCAAAATATTTTAGAAAAAAACATATGCTCTGCATGAAGAGAAAATGTTTTGTAACCAAGTGATGTAATCAATATTTAAAACTAGGAGATATATATAATTGGCACCTGATTGTGCAGCAGTTACCAGTCTTTTCCCTCGCATAAATGAAATTCACTTACTATTAAAACAACATCACAGCTTACCAAAGGCAAAACTGGTGACTAATGAAGAAGGTATACGATTAGTATCAAACATTATGTGTAAAGAAATATCTAAAGATGTTGTTGTTAGTCTGTTTTTTCTTGTATTAAAATTAAAGCATATCTGGCTAAATATGTACAATAAAAATGAAGTAAAAACTTTTGTAAGAATATTAAGAAGGCTGACCTTCCCATATTTCATTCTTTTAAAATTCTGAAGAAACTAAAAACGAACTTTTTGATGTTTTTAATATACCACCTAATAATGTTATTTTAAGGAAATTTTTATGTAATTTATTTTTATATACCTTCTAAAGGAGTCTGCTTAAAAAAAAAGATTCAATATTATAAATGAAAAAAATTTAATGACAGAAAGTTGTTTATGAATGCAGCTGTTATCAAATTTATCAAACACTACATTCAAAAAATTATAAATTTTATCACAGGTATCAAACTAATTAATAGTTTCCTTTTACTTTATAATAATGTACAATAAAATAGTTTATGAGAAGAATAAAACTATAACAAATTATATTGTAGTATTTCTGCTGTCTTACTCATATAAGTAACAGAGCAAATACTCAGCTGCAAAGTTTCAGTAAGAAATTTACACCAACAAATGTTTTGTTAAAATGGTGATACAACTTTTAGATTTACTATATAACTACAAAACATGGGAAACAAAAAGGAAACAAAATTACTAATTCCACACAACTGGTAATAATAATCTCTAAAATTCAGTAATCACTAGACGATAGCATCAAATTAAACAAAATCTGGAACATTACTTAATTAAGAAATTTTTCCCCAAGTTAAGCATCACGTTAATTCTCTACAACAATGTTGAAAATCTTGACGATGAATGAAGTAATGCTTCAAAATGTAGCTGCACATCGTCAGAAAATTTACAAGTGCTAAATCTGCCACTGAAATCTATGCTACCGATCATCAGTAAATCATTCTTTCTACATTGATGATATAGGGACACATATATATAGGCTGATAAAAATTTACAGCTTCTTTGTTAACAGAAGCTAAAGAACAATAAAAGCAGATCTGTTTCTGAAAAATCATAAAATGCAGTAACCAAGATTTATTTCATTTCCAAGGCTAAATAAGACAAATAGTGATTAGATTGATTATGCCTATGTACTGAAGGGTATTTATGGCAAACCAGATATTCAAACTATTACTAATTTCAGTATAAATCCCTATAAAACAGATTAAAAACTTTTTGCATCATGCTGAATTAATTTTAATGAATAAACAAAATATTTAACTAATTTGAATATATTCGGAGGATGAGAAAGTAAAATGCATTATTTACGAGAAAATTGTTTTAAAATAATTTTTTCAAAATACATCTGGTTTATTAACTCAATCATAATAGAAACAATATAAAACATAATAATTTCAAAATAAACATTAATTTTAGAACAGCCAAACATGCATTTGTAAAACTGATTAATAGTAATAGTCAGAATGTCAAGTAAATTAAATGAACATTTTTACACTGATGAAACACTGCTACTGAAACATACAAAACAATGAATAATAAACAGTATAATTGTACAATAAATTGTTTGTTGACAAGAGAAATACTAAATATTTAAATCATGTTAGACATGAGTTTTAAAGGCTTTTAAAATTATACTTTCAATCTAATTTATATAAGAGGAAATAATGAAAGATCTCTAGCATTAATAATTTCACTTCTTGTAAACCACCCATTGCAAAAAGGAAATATTCTAAAGCTAATTCCTTTGGTGGCATGCATACATATGTTTCAGCCTCTTCCATTACTCTTACATGTATGTATATATATACAGAATATAATCCAGATTCATCAGATCCCAAAACTTACTAATACAATAAGTTTTTAGCTTAACAATCAATTGGCAGACAGTGAGTCCAAATGAAATGTCACTTTTTTTGTGGGATATTTTTATTTAAAATTTTTGAACACATCGCTGCCTACTTATTCAAAAAGCTTCCCCAAGAAACATTGCATCATGTACATAAAAAGTTAACGCAGCCTAATGCAAGAAGAGAGACTGCGATATCCACCAAGTGGTGCTCGAGAGAACTTCACTTCTGGGGAATAGTGAGGGAGAGGCGTCTCGGCCGCGGCATGTCGTACTCCTCCATGGAAAGGGTGCGCCGCCGCCCAATGGCTCCTAGGGATTTCGGGTCGCCTCCTGAAAAAGTTCTCTGTCGCTCCACTCCAGGCATTGTCACAGAAGTCACTACGGACAAAATAAAATAAAGCATATATTAATATGAAATGTGAAAACAATTATACATCTCGGTTTAAGGAATAAAATAAAAATTAAATTTAAATAAAAGTAGGAAAATAATTTCATGTTTTCTAGCAATCATCTTTCTGCATTTCATTTAATTTTTAATTGCTATTATCGCAGAATTAATACTTTTTAATAACATGGTTGATTCACTTTGATCCACTAAAACTGTATACTTCAAGACTTAAATATTTACTCTTAGAGTGATATAAATAGAAGAGGTTCCTTCAAAGAACAATAAAATTAATCTTCTCACATTTCTTAAAATACAAGAAAAGCAGAGGATGGAAATGATGACTAGACACACAAATCTCACAAGAAAAAGTGCTAAAGCTAAATAAGCAAAAGCTTTAAGTCAACTAGAAACAACTTAATCATATTTCTTAGATAATACAGATTAAAAAATAAAAGAATTTTCAACATGGAAGAACATAAATTGACTGCTAATATTGTAAGAAATTCTACACTCATTTCTTGCTCAATATAATCATATAGAAGCTCTGATATAACAAGAGAAGTGTATAAGTAATGCTACTTATTTTATTGTGAAGTACTCAAGAGATAATCTCGAAGAAAAGAAGATTGTTAAGAGAAATAGACAAGCTTGTATTTATGTTGTACATAGAAAAGGCAAACTATGTTACTTCACATTGCAACACTCACTGAATCAGTAGAGCAGAGATAATTCAGCTTTGGTAGAAAACACACACAAAAAAAGAGGGGGGGGGGAACAAACTTATGTCGCCATCCTAAGCATTCATCAATACTGAATATATGTAATTTACCAGCATTTTATAGCTTTAGTCAAGACCAATGAATGACTGAATCATCAGTCATTATCATAGTTATCCAAAATTTAAAGAACTCAAAAAAAAAAAAAAAAAAAAAAAAAAAAAAAAAAAAAAGCAGCAAGGAATTAAAAGGAGAGGGGAGAAATTAGCATGTAATCTTTTATACATATTCTTTAAAGAATTCTTTAAAGAATTTTGTTTATAAAATTTCTGATATGCCTCCCAGACAGAAAAGTGGTTAGTTACTCTGACTGCTGTACCGAAGAGCCCAGGTCTAAATCCCGGAGTAAGTATGGATGTAATTTGTCTATTCCTTCATAGAAGGCAATAGTGGCAACCTATTAGGTGCCTACATAGCAAAGGGATCACTGTACTGGCCAATGCCTGTAAATGGCTAGAGATTGCCATTTTTTCATGGGGGGGGGTCTGATAAGGCTCCCATATAAATGCATAAGGAGGGATTTATAATTAAGCATAATATATTAACGTAATTTCTTTTCGTTTGCTCACCTACAGGCTGTTCAACTGCTAGACAGTAGCAAAATGCAATTTTATATACAATCTTCATCAATCTAGAGCTTCTTTTCCTAGTTCTATATTTTAAAATTTTCTCTTAATCCTGTATTTTATATGGTATATTTCTTTTCTACATGAATTTATTGTTTTGCCGCTAATACAAAGCCTGGCAATATACAGAATTATTGCATTACTCTGCTTTTGCAGCCCTACTGGCCAAGTGGAACCACTGAATACTGGGGTTTTGTCTCGGTTTGATCTCTGGTGAAAATGGCTGGCTGCATAGTTGGCTTTGATGGTGGCTTTCCTCATGTATAATGGAAATACCACTGTGTTCTGCATACAATGTTCTCCATGAAGGCATCACTACCCTTAAGGGTGTAGCACTCATGTGTTTTGCAATTTTTAAATAATTTAAGCTATACTTGCTCTTGTGACATATTAGTAATAGCACATCCAATTAGCACTGAAAAATTTGTGGTCTGAATCTCACATAATTGATGTTTCATGTTTTCTGCCCTGAGAAAACGTAATGCATGTATAAACTGATCCTGCAGAAGCAAAGCTTGAATAAGACAAACTGATGGTTTTTTTCAGGCTAGAACTGAGGCCCCATTTTTCACTATTCTTAAACTTTGTTGATTTAAAAGTAACCTCCCCCCCCCCAAAAAAAAAGAGGTAATTTCTGATTTCCCAATTTTTCAAGTAAAATATTTTGCTGTCTCCTTGGAGTCCTATAATGAATGTTTATATTGTTTAATAATTAATCTCGCCTTGATAAAAATCATCATTTTTCCTTTTTATTTTCTTTCTTTTAGCCAGAGACAGATTTAGACTTGATATGGCCCTAAGCTATTTGAGATATGGGGGGGGGCCCTTTATAATGCTGTTAAAATCTATTTTAACACTATTTATACTATATTTTAATTTCTGGGGGCAAGATAGGGGTGCCTTAAGGTATAGCTTGGGTAGCTTATACGTAAATCCAGCTCTGCTTATAGCATTGAAAACCATGAAGTATAACTAAGAGCTCAGAATTTTCTTTTTTCATCAATAACCAGTGGTTTAACAAGGGCCAAGATCTCTAGATATGTCACTAATTACCTTATTTTTCAAGTTCTTGAAATATGTACAAAACAAAATCCCTTCCTATCACAACTAAAAGATTAACAGGTGTACACCTATGGTTTTAATTGAAATTTAGAAATCAGATTTTGACCTTAAGCTGAGCTGTTTTTCTCGACAATATTCCTATTTCATTGCATAATTTCCAAAATATTCCCAGTGATAATGATTGAATTACATTCTTTGGTAGGCAATATGTTTTACATTCAGTATTCTCACATTGGGTTGACTGCAAATGCAGAATTCAAAAGTCTTTTCCATAGACAGTTTTTACAAGTGAATTAGTGTTTACGCTGCATTTACAAACAGATTATTTTGTGCGTAGAATATTTCTGTTATAGATAAATTGGATTTCAGACAGGAATAATCATGTATCATTTTTTATGTAACCATATAAATATATATATCTATTAAGAACTTCTAGTCTTAATAGATAAATATATTTAAAGTTTCTGTCCACCTAGCATCTTTGTTCAATGCATCCGTCTTATCAGTCAAAGAATAAACAGAAAATATAAGATGAATTTGTTGAAGAAAACATCACAATACGAAATTTTTAATACTATGCATTTCACAACATTTTTAATCATGGAATAGTAATATTTTTTTTTTTTTTTTCAGGAAGTGCAAAAACATATCCTTCAATCCACAACTTGCTTACATGCAACATTTTGAAAGAAGAATAAATCTAAAAGTAGCAGATGATATTTCTCATTTTAAATAACAAGCTATTGTGAGAAATTTTTACTTCAAAATATTTGCTTTTTTAAAATTCTTTATTAAAATCATTCTGAAGAGGACTCTACTCTTCTTCATTCATTCTACCCTCTGTATATCCTAATTTAATACATTAAAACACAACAAAGTGACTGTGCTTTCTAACGAAATCTCATAATGTATTTTTTGTATCTTAATATTAAACAAAATTGAATAATAGTATACTTACAATATCCAAGTCCTTTGACAAACAAAAGTAAGCTTTGGGATAATTTTTCCGGCTGAAAAAAAAACAACATATATTACGTTTGCAATTGATAATTTTCCCTAAACAAAATGTATAAAGCATCTTTTCATTTCTTTCTACAAGTTCAATACATCAAACTGCACGGATCTCCTATATTTTTCAACTAACAAAATTGACTTTACTTTTTGTTTTTTGTCCAAACTTCAAATTTTGTTGACTACACAGCCACCACAGAAAATTTGTAGAAAATTCATTGCCCAGACTTTACTATCATCAAACAGTGGTGACACTAAAATTATCGCCCCAATCATTCAGATTTATATCATGCGAAAAATAGATACATTAATTTCATATTATTATAGTTATCTAAGGTGAGTTCACTAGCTTGTCAAACTGCAATAAATTTACTGGGAGTATCAGTAAATTTGCTAATAGTTGCAATATGCAAATAAATAAAATAAAAAATAAAGTTTTAATACTTTTTGAAAGTATGAAAATTTTTAAATAATGCTTTTCAAGTTAACAATCTGAGATTAATTTTAAAAAAATTAAATGCATGAAAAATCACTTAGAATTTGGTAAGAAACACAACAAAATTTATGATAACATCATCATCTAGACAGTTATCGCAAATTCCTTCATTTAATTCATAGCTATGTCTAATTACCTATTTTATGCCCATTTACATAGCAGTGTTTTCACTAAAATCAGTAAACTGCACAAACTCGACATAATGTACAACCTTGTACATGATGTCATACCTTCTAATTTTTCAATTTGTTGTAAAATTGAAAAATTAGAAAGAAAAATGGCACACAGTACCTATAAGCGAGCCTCCATTGTGCTATATGTATGAAGAAAGCTAATTTCACGAAGGACAGTGAAAATTACAGTACATAGTCCACTGCATGCTAAAATGCTGAAATTTTCATATCAGCTATCATAATCTGCAGTCATACAGGTAAATCCGTCTAAAGAGTGAAAAGCTGTCTCGTGGGGGGTACGGGATGCTTAGCACATATTTAAGACTAATGTCTAATGAGAGTGCACAAAATTCTTATTTACTTCTTGTATTCGGTTTTTTATTCATTGTCTTATAAATTCACTCACATCTTATTCATTGGATTTTCTGTTTAAAAATAAGAATTTTTATTTAAAATTCTTTGCTGAAGTATTTCATTTTGTAACTTTCGCTTTCATTTTAATAAAATAGTATTATCTTTTTATTTAACAGAATTTTTTAAAGGTTTTTTTTAATTATTCTAATTAGAAATTCTGAAGTCACTTTTGTTTCACATCTCATAGTTAAGACTAATGTCCAATGAGAGTGCTCGAAATTCTTAATTACTTCTTGTGTGTTCTGATTGATTTTTTCTACATTGTCTTACAAATTTACTCATATACTAATTCATTGGATTTTCCGTTTAAAAATAAGCATTTTCATTTAAAATTCTTCACTGATGTATTTTGTTTTGTAACTTTCAGTTTCAATTTTAATAAAATAGAATTATTTTTTTTATTTAACAGAATTCTTTTATTAAGGTTTTTCTAATTAATCTAATTAGAAACTATTTTGTTTTTTCCTTGCTTTAGGGAAGGGCCAGAATTTTCGGGTGAAATATTATAATTAAAAAACATCAAAAGAGTTCACTGACTAATTCTGGATACAAAAAAGCAAAGTTTTTTGTAGAGGAGAGAATTCAATTGATTTCAATATTCCTCTCCCACTGATGAAGTAAGATTGAATTCCTCTTCTGTTTTTGTTTACTTTTCTTTAAATTTTCTTTCATTTTTTAAAATGGAGTTTTGCTTGTTTGGATTGTTTTGGTTTTAATTTTTTGAATTCTTTGCTGCAGTTTGTTTTAATTTGTTAATTGTGAATTTCATTTTTTGGTCTTAGTGGATTGTTGATTCAAAATTTCTTGCTTTATGTCTTTATATATACGGGCTGCCACATAAATACTTTTTAGAGACATGCATATTGACACATCAATACATTTTGCAGCTTTTTGGTAAGTTGTGGATAATCAGGAAGTACCATAAAATTCATCTTATGTAAAAATCTGTATCTTTTATGGCAGAACACTATACTTACTGCTTGTGCAAAAACATCTCCTACACTGTCAAGTTTTAGGAATGAAGTCTTCTGCTTATCCATACGACCATAAAGGTTTTGGACGGCCTGAAGATGTGCAGCTCTCCCACCACTAATAAGGAGCACATCCATTGATCTGAAAAAGTATATGCTACAATAAAGCATTTATACAAAATAAATTTTTCAATAAAATTTCACATATTCCTGAAAATTTATTTAAATTCAGGAAACAAATAATTTATATCTTAATGGTTTCATATTCTGAATTATTATAAATGTACAAACTGATGCCGAAAGTTAAGTAAAATTTGGTTGATTAACTGACATGCCATTTTACTGAACTGAAAATGGCACAATCATAAAAAAATAATCCAAATGATATTGCCTTTTTTTTTTTTTTTTTTTTTAAATTTTCATTTTCACACACAATGTAGAAATAGAGAATTTGATATGCAAGGAAAAAAGTGGGCCATTAAACTGCTTTTCTTCCGATTAGTTGATTGCCAATAAACATCTACTACATTATTAAAAAATCCTGTATTCTGTTTTGCCTTTAAACACCTGTTGACCAGCAAACCTTATTTTTGCCCCTTGAGTGATTGTGGTGGGGATACATTCTCCTATCTTATCTAGCTCTGTAAACAATAAACTATACTCCAAACAAACATGGGTTTATGCTGTTTTGTTTTGATGCTGTAGGAAGCAAGGAAGAATGGTACTTATGTATTAACGCAGGCACTTTTGTGCAAACTGGCGATGAAAATAAATAAATAAAAATAAAAAAATAAAAAATAAATAAAACACAACAGTGCAAAACTGTGGCTTTTGCACTTTTTTTTTTTTTTTTTTTTTTTTTTTTTTTTTAAGAATGATTCCCAATCTATCGATATTGATTGTAACTCAGCAGACATTACTAACATATGGAAAGAAAATACACTTTAGCAATTTAAGATACAAATTTTAATTATTAAAAAAATAAAACACTTATATCTTCTTCAGATCTTTCTGCAATTTTTTTGCAGAATTTTCTCCCGAAGTACACAGTGATCTATTTTCACTTAAAAAAAAAGTCAGAGAACATCAGAAAAATGCAGAAACTTGGCTTTGTGTAAACTTTAGCAACAGCAGCTATGTAGGAAATGCATTTTATCATCATTCCCTTAAGCAAAATTCTGCAGAAATTTTACCACAATTTTTTCCATTGCTGGAAATTCCTCAAGATCATATTTAAAACTGAGTTTAAGGCAAAAAATATCATGATTTGGTTATAAAAACCCTTGGAACTTGGAATGCAACAATAAAAAATGCATATGAAAATGGTGACGTTGCTTAATTGAAGGATTCTTATGAGCATGATTGCCAGAGGAATAGTTATGTGCATGGCTGCCAAAGTCTGACACATTCTGAAAGTTTGGTAACTTCTACTAGGGTGGTTGTGTTAATATGTAAGTACTGAAAGAATTAGTATTCAATGAGCCTGTGCTCAACTAGTGTTATGAATTCCACTCTTCTTTAGCTTTCTGATTTGATCCAACTTGTTATTTTATTCAATCTGTCATTATTAATGCTATTTTATTAAAAGTAAAATTTTAATAAAAGATAACATCACCGTTTTACTCTTTCTTCAAAACTATACACCTATCATTTAGCCAGTAGATATCAAAAGACTGCATATAATGAAATGCAGATATAAAGTAAACTTTTAAAATTTGATGCAGCTATAAGACCACTTGAGAATTCTGGAATTATTTTAATGTAAAATTTGCTACATGAAGCATTGCAAGTCCATGAGAAGATGCATCTGCAGATATTTTTAAAATATGCTTGGCATAATTTATAGCTAGCTGCCATATTCCATGATTATGATGACAGCTGCAAATTGAATGTTTTACAACACCACAAGTAAAACGCAGAATTTTCCGATTAATGAAATCTGTGAAGAAATGCTAAATGTAAAATATGTAACTGAAGTCTTCCATCATGATCGTAATGTCCCAATCAGGAATTGGTCAATGGGAGCAAAGTCTGTACAATTTCCCAATAATCAATTAGTCAATGGATAGCAAAGTCTGCAGTACAGTTTTAAATCTAAAAAATATCATCATTTTGGTTTCGAATCATTTTATTTCATGAAATGGCAATTTATATGCAATTTTTTCTGCAGAACAGAATATCTTTTTCCTGAAGAACTAGGATAGCTGTTTGTTCATCATTTGGCAAATCCCAAAAATTAATCCCCCCCCCTTATAAAAAAAAAAGATCAAAGATGAAAAATGTGGTGACCGCATTAGGAAATAGAGCAAAGCAAAAAAAGACCTCCAAGTAGTATAACTGAAACAAAAAAGAATCACGAGATTTTCCCGTTAATGAGTATGTGAATCAATGTTGAATGAAAGATGATATATTTGAAGTTTTCATTTCAATGTGATAGCAGATGGCAAAATCGGTAGTATGGTTTTAAATATATCCAGAAAATATCACCATTAACAATGAATAAAGTTACAAAAAAGTTTTGAAAATTAACTAATTATTTAGTGGGAATTTTTGAGACAGCACTTACAAGCCTTGAACAATAGAACTTTGAAACTGAACAAGAAATTAGGTCTTTTTATGATAAAAAGAAAGTATTAACATAAAAAACAAAACAGCTTAAGCAATTAAAACAATGTTAATAATGAGCTCTTTTTGTAAATTTTGAGTCCCTTAAAGACATAAATACTTTGTTATTTCAAAAACAATCATTTCATATTTTTAATTTTGTAATTTTTGCATGTGATTTTACTAAAGTGAATGATCTAAAACCAGAAATGTATGAAATCTAGAATTGCTGAAGTTCCAAAAATTCTGGATCTTGGTCCAGTATTTGGATTCTGGAAATCTGAGAACTGAAAATATAAAACTATATTGATATTCTTTATACTTACTTAAGATTATTTTCTATGGCACTTGTAACATCTTTACGACTGAAAAGGTAAGAAATCAGTAATTAGCAGTTTAAATGTGGCTACAATTAATTTAGAATTATCGTACATTTCATATAGACAACTGTGATATTACTAAACTAAGAACTTAGTATTCCCATAAATTTAAATAACTAAATCTCTCATAACCACATCTTTTATTTTTGACACACACATGCACATTGCTTCATCCAAAAAAGAGGGATCAGAAGAAGAAAAGAAAGAATACAACAGAATGAGTCTGAAAATAGGAGTTGTATTTTTGAATCAAACATGAAAATACCCAAAAATGTAACAAATAAACGGAAATCTTCATTATAATTTGCATAATCATGTCTCATTGTGTAAATTATTAAGTAGAATGAAATAAATCAAAGCAAAATATATATATTTTGCATAACAAATACACTACAAGTGCAATTTAACTGCACCAAAATGTCCAAATGCATATTTTTATTCATCTGTTTCACAACTGTCATAAAGCACATAATGTTATACATAACAATTACTATTTCTCATATTCAGATGGGATTATTTGTTTCCCTTTTTCTCATATTGTATTTTTTCTATTACTATTAATATATTAAAGAATTTTATATAATCATATAAGAAGTAGAAAGAGATACTTATCATATAGTACTTTTACTACATAATCATATTAGAAGTAAAAAAAGACACTAATCATATCATAATAGCATACTTTTACCACGGGTTTAAAATTCGCATGTGGGCCATATGTATTACCTAAAAGCAGCTGGAGGGCCAGATTTTTTGTAACAAAATTTCAAATCGCATTTACTCAGTATTTATCAAAACATATATAAACACACAGTAATGCACGAGAAAAATTCAATTTTATTATTATTTTTATTATCTTATTTTCTATCTGCAACAAATTTCTGTTGGTTACATTTCATAAATCAAATGTTTGATATTTATTTTCAATAATTATTATATTTTGAATTACCAATAACTAAGCAACTTACTTTTAAAATAAACAAATTACGAAAGCTTACCAAATTTGCACAGTAAACTTCCTAGTGGAACAAAACTTCAGAACACTACCTAACATACAATCTGTTCTCTTTTCTTTATTTATTAAGAAAAATTACTAGTGATAAAGCTGGTTATTAATGAATAATTGGTGAAACATTTGAGATGCTCATTGGTCAGTTGCATCCTTTTCTTAGACTTGTTCATTTTCAACCAATTAGTGACGGACTCAAGGAAAGTAAAAGTACCAACTCATTAAGAAGGGAAAAAAGGGCGCACCAGAATATGAAAATTTTACCAGTTGGTAATCAAATTTATAGATTGTCCCACCATATTCTAATCATGCAATTTAACATGCATGCATATAAATTCTACATTTTTTTCATGCAGCGGACATCGTAAATCTATCATTCTATTTCATTTTCATTCACTAGCAATCCCACATATAAGCACAATCCATGTTTCTAATCTTGTTTATATTTTAAATTGTCATTTCCTGAGATGCACTGGTTAATGTCCTTTTTTTCTATTAGCTTCTTTTGCAGTCGCTAAGAGCTTGTTAAATATGCATTTATTTATATGCTTACTGTTAAAATAAACTTTTTTGGCTGTGTTCCAGTGCTATAACTGGTATGTCATGACTGTTGAAATGTCTGCAAGCGCTTTTCTATCTTCTTAAAAAACATTTTATTGCAATCCAATCCCCAATGAATTTTTGCTGTATGAAAATCTATAATCACTGTATTAAAATAAATACATATAATTGAAATGTACTGGCGGATTGCATAAAATTGCTTCATAAGCTGCATGTGGCCCACAAGCTGATAGTTTGACACCACTGCTTTTACCATATATTGCGTGTGTATCTATCTTTTTATGCATTTTATATTCTAATAAAATGTTTCACATCATAAATCTTAGTGGGAAGAACAGATAAAATAAAGACTACAAGGGTGATTCTAAATTGTTTTTAAAAATTAAGAGGGATGATAGTACTCATCCAGATGAGCAATAATTACCATAGAACATAGGGTCGCAATTCCACTCTGAGAGGCATAAAAGAGGAATATATTAGAATTCTAACCTGAACTTACAACAGTGTTAGCAGAACGAATGAAAGAGACGAAAAGTTGCACAATCAGTTTAGTGAAAAACTCAAATATGGAACTGATGGGTACAAGATGGGTAAACCAATCTTAGACAAATTTTGATTCTGCTTATAGTACCATGATGGTGATATCAAGTTTGGAACCATGGTAACAGACATCATGAGTCTTGCATTATGTACTCTGGTATCAATCTGCCACCTAAAGTTTTTGGATGCTTACTTGGGATATGAAGTGCAATTGCGTTTGCAGCAAAAGTAGCTACTGCATGACAGAAAATTTGCCTAGGTGCATAATTTTGTAAATACATAAAATTAACCCTAAAATAAAATTACTTGCATTTAGAAAATCAACAGAATTATGAGGCTTTTTCTGAGGTAAATGCATTGAATTTTATTCCTGCACCTACCACATTAGCATTACTGGCACACTCAACAGCCACTGCTAATATCTCTGAAGTTCTGGTGCCTAGTGTCATCTCTTAATCTCAGTCTGCCAGCAGCCAAGTTTCAATAGAACCGCTATATATAATGTACAATATTCAACAATTCTTCAATGCCTACCAAGCTGAGCTGCTCCCTTGGCCTGCTTGTACTCCCACAATGTCGTCTATCCTGGGAGCAAAAGCAGTACCACTATGTTGTCTATCTAGCACATCTGATCAAAGACTGGCAAATTGTTTAGCAAACATCACTCATGACTGCAGGCTTTGCATTCACAAACCAAAGCCTCTTTTGCCGAGGCATGTCACAGCAGTTTCTGCCACTCATAGAGGATTATAGAGAAGACTAGTTTCTTTAATGTTCTGCAAATGAACATGGCAGTAATTTCCCTTAATTCATCCTATCACGTTTTACTACTTGACCAGTAAATATGGCTCTGATATCTTACATTTTTCACAGTGCATTTTGGATGATGAGTAGTATAATTACATTACATTATATAGGCAACTACACTGATAATTACAGTTAAATATATTTTAAAATCAGCATATTATTAGTATTCAAAGAAAATCTAAATATTGATAACCGGGAATGAAGAATAATATCAAAGTTATATTATAGCAGTTAATTAACAATAAATCATTAAATTTACTTACTTCATGTAAGATTCAACATAACGACGTAAGTTCCTAGGATTTATCTTATTTTTCAGTTTTTCTGTGTAATCCTGAATAAGTGTTTCCTTATTCTCAACATTCTCCAGTTGCTAAAATATAATAAAGAAATGCAGTTACAGCATATTCTTAGAAAGGTATAAATATTAAAAACTATTCCCTTTAAAATTATGAGTATTAATAGAGATATTTGAAATGAAGTCTAATTAACAGACAGCAAACTTGGGAGAATTTTGTCATGATTAAAGATAAAACAAAATATTATCTATAAATTAAAAAGTTCAAATAATTTGATCTTATAGTTGAATTGCAGATGATCAACATGGAATGTTTCATCTATAAGACCACATATCATAGTACTACAGCTAAAATATGAGATATCAAGCTTGTTTTCATTCGTTACATTACAGCTATTTATTTAGTATATCAAACTCTCAAATGACCAAAAAAGCAATTATCTCGATTATTTTCAAGGCTTGCATGATTTATTAGCCATCCACAGATGAAGCTATCTATCCAAGAAACAAGAGACCGAGCTTTCATTATAATATTAAGTTTACAAATACTGCAAATGAAAAGTTGATCTTCTCTTAAGCAGATAGTTATCTCTAATTAATTAAATACTTATCACCGTAAGAAATTAATCATTTGAATGATTTTTTGCAGATTCTGAGAATAGTGATACTAAACAAAAAATATGATGCTGTTTATAAGCAGTAAATAAATAATATGATTTATAAATGCAAGCCTGTGATGGCTCATCCTAGTGTATCAGCCTTATTGCACTTTTTTACATTAAATTCATAGACGAGAAAGAGTGGTTTTCTCTGCAATAATGTATGTAGTAATTATGGCATATTTTGGTATTATTTTTACACTTTTCATGTAGATTGCTTTTAAAATATATAAAATGTAATTCATTTGTTATCTAGGAGATCATCCAATGATTCCATTACAAAATGTCATGCATATTTAATTGCTTTAAATAATAATTTTCAGTTTTTCACTAGTATTTATTCAAGCAAATGCATTAAACAGGAGTCTAAATTACTGAGATATTTCAAATATATTTTAGAATCTCTTCCTTCATTAGTAGGAAGTAAATATGTATTTTGTATTTATATTTAATTAATCCTATATTTTACATGCTATACAATTGAAAAGAAGAAAAAAATTAATATGCAAAAAATATTTGTATAAAAATAGCAATAATTAAATTTTATATATTAATAACTGCAGGCATGATTTAGAAAATTTAAAAAATAATAATAACTGTGCTAACGAGCAGATAATTACTGTGCATTCACAAAATATTCTGTACTGAAATTGGGGGAGGGAGGTCACAACCGACAAAAAGTATTCTAAATGCTTAAACAGAAGAAGTGGAAATTTTTATCATTTACTATCATGAACATCTAACTGTGGCTAGTGAATGCAGCAAATAATCTAAATGACAGTCATAGTTAAGGTCAGTAATGTTGTTATAATGATTTATTTAGCCATCCCTATTAGGAGGACTACACAATTCATGTAACAAAGAAAATAAACAGATAATCATACTACATTTATACATTTTGAAAATATTAACTGCATTAAATGTTATTGTTATTTCCCTTTCTTGTTGTCTCCCTTAAAATTTCAACAATTTATTTTATTTACTTTTAATTTACAACACCATTTAAAAATTAATGATTACTTGCCACGTTTTTCTTAAACACTAAACATTATTTTTTGCTCTTATATTTCCCACTTTTCATGGAATTAATCATGTAATCTATAGTGACTTAATGATTTCTTTTCAAAAATTTTTACAATTTAAAAACCAAAGAAATTACAAAGGAATATGTTTATGTGAACTGAAATGAAATCAAAATGGTCTTTGAAATAATATAATAACGCCAACAAATGTTTTTCACCAAAGATTAAGAAACAATACATCAGCCCCTTCTTCGTCAGATTTTTTTCGAATTTTCAATCCAAAAAAGCATTTGTTTTTTCCACTGAAACTTAATGCACGTTCGATCCTGAATTTGCAAATGCAAAATATTTTTGTCAGTGTGCAGTTTTTTTGCTTGACATACTGGTAGCTCACACATGTGATATCCCATTCCCTGATCTCTAGTTTTCTCCAAAATGCACTCAAATTTCAAATTAAAAAAGTACTTTCTGATATTATCAGATCTATTGCTTGAGGTGTTTAAGATATGTCTGCATAAAAATAATTATTAAAAATACACAAAAATTGCTTTGGAAAATTGTTTTACAATGTTACTGTGAAAATTACAGAAAATAGAAAATGATTATGTTTTCCATTCAAGATGGGTGATCTTATTGAAAAAAATGTGAAATACGACTAGTAGCACCAACTCTTAGTAATATTCAGAAAAAATAAATAAATAAATAATCATGAAGATAGCAAGACATGTAAGCAGCAACGAATTCATGGTCAAGAATGCAATTTTTCACTTTGTCGCATGAAATGTTATGTCAACCTTAAGAGCACAAAAAAGAAAAATGTGTGACATGCACCACCAAACAAGAAGGGGTTATTTCTTTACAAATTGTAATTTTTGTTGCCATTAGCTTTTTTTAACAGCAAAAAAAGTTCCAGAAAAACACCATTAAAACCTCTATTAATAAATAGTCTAATTGTTTATTAATAAATATATTACATGCATTTATTTTCGCAATTCATAATAATTTACCGATATTCATTCTTCATTTCTTTTACTAAGGAACCACAGGTATTGTATTATTGTTTGGAAATAAAATTTTCCACTTCTTCATTTTTTTAAAAATTTCTATTAATGAATTTTGTTTAACTCCCATAATGCAATCAAAATACTTCATTACACGATACCCTTAACTTTGTTTTCCTTTACCAAGTAACAATATCCCAAATCACTAACATTTTTTAAAAAATTCAACTAAAAATTCTGTGCTATACTTTTCACTCATACAAATCACTGAAAGGGGGGCTAATACTTAATCAAGATGCATAAAATTCACTTATATACAAACTAGACAAAATCAAACTATAAATATGAAAATAATTAGTGAAACCTAAACTAAAAACCTCTATTTCCACTACAGTTTCCTACACTTTCTAGTGGGATGGAGAGAGAAAAACAGCAAGATCCAGAAGTTAATTATCATTATGAAAACATGCAATTTCATTTAAGGCATTTTCCTCCAAAATTATGCAAGCAAATGCATTTTCCCTAAATTTATGTAAACAACAAAGTTAACAACATCGAAAGTACTGATAGTATGATAAAGGTCCATCTATAATTATTTATTTATGTATATAAAATTTAAACATATAAAGTTTAAGATTATAAAAACTTGCTGAAATATAAAAATATGCAAGATTATAATCCTGATTAAAGACACATCAATAAAGCTTATCATACTGCATATTTAATCAATAATAAATATCCTCTGCAAAAACCTAACTTAATATAGAGATTTGTTCCTTATTTCTCCCCCTTTTGCAATTATCTTATTTGGCAAATTAAGGTTATCATTCCTCTATTTTTTATTACACTGTATAACTCACACCATAAAGTGAGGCTTTTTAATTAATTCAAGTGTACTTAGTTTCCAATATTTAACATTAAAAACTGTTTCTCATAATTCCCTTAAAAAAAAAAAAAAAAAAAAAAAAAAAAAAACCACTTTCCTCCACTCTCTTTTTAGAAGGGAAAAAAGGATAAATATCATTTGGAAAACATTTCAATAGTTTTTAATTTCCATAGTGTTTTCTTTACTTTTCTTACTCGCTAACAATATTACTGCATAGCTAGCTAATTTAAAAAAACAGCCATTGAATTAAGGAAAGTAATTTTAAAATGGCATAAGATAAGCATTTGCTACAAGTTATTTTAAAACTTCATATATTACAAATAATAATTCATTTACATGATATCTTATTTAGAGCATATTTTTATACTATTTCAAATTGCCCTGGTACAAAACAAAATTTTCTCCAGAGAATTCTTTCCAAAACTGATGAAATTTCAAGCATGTTCATTTTTTTTTAATTGTGCTAATTTCTGTCTTAAATAACATCAATTTTAGAGATATTCTCTATGCATTTCAAGAGAATGTTATATAGCTCTCTCTGCATAAAGAATAGAACTGGATTATTCATTATGACAAAGTAAACAATGATTATCTGTCCAAGCTCCATCCAAATTTTGGTTGACAACACCTTGTGATATGGAACCCAAGAATCTCACATCTCTTTTCCCAATCACCAACTTCTCAAAAGGACTTTGAGGAGATAAAATTTTTAAGTGCTCCCTATCAAATACAGTCGTTTTGAAATTCAAATCAAGTCCAAAAGCATGGCAACTTATCTTTGTAAACTGCTATGCTGTCTTTGCAAAATACTTTTCTTAAAGGCATACAGAGTTTCCCTAATATCAGTGCCAATCTAAAGTTTAATATTTCCATTTTAAAGTTAGGTTGCTCCTGTTTCAGCTGCTATAGCATGTTAAAACTCAGTAAGGTTAGAAAATTAAATTGTAAATAAAAATTCCAGTTTATAATTTAATAATTTAAGGTATTCTTTACTTTTATCACATCGATTTTTTTATTAATCGATATGGAAAAATAAATTTAACAAAATCGATAACTGAAGAATTTGATGAATAAGGAATTAAAAAAAGGATATTTGGCATTAGAAGAAAGTTCATATTCTTGCATACATTAAAATTCATTTTGTATGGAAATTTGACAGAACAAATCTTGTATCCAACAAAGTATTAGCAAATGGACCTTTATCAAAAAAATTCCATTTCCTTGTTTCATGCAAAACTGATTAAAAAAACTTACATTATTCAAATTTCTACCCTACAGATATGCAAGGCACATGCAGCATGCTGAAGCAAGAGAATGAAGTACTAATTAGAAGAAGACTAAAAAGCTTCTAACATGCAACTGTGAAATGTTTACCTCCTGTTTGTATCGCAATTCACGAGAGATGATGAAGAAGCCACAAGACAGAGATGGAAAGTGTTTTAATGAAACAAAACGAACAGTCAGAGGTAAGTACCAGGCAGATACACATATAAGCAATACATATATA